TTTACTTTTTCCTACAGCTCTAAGTGTTTCCTAACACTTAGTCCTCAGCTACCTTAGAATCTTTATCTAGTGTAAGGTAATTTACACAATATAATGTATTAATTACTTATCACCACCTGCAATCTCATGGTAACAATGGAGTTACAGCAAGAAGTCTAAATTGACTGGCGTTCCTTAAACTCACAGATATTTTAGGTAACATTTCTGCCTTTTTATTTATGACCTTGAAGAAAGCAATTCAAGTCAATTCAATTAAAATATATGCTCTGGCTTGGTGTCCTCCAACTGCACGATTCTTTAATTCCCATTCTTCCCTTTCTAAAGCTTATAACATAAAACTTATGATTAATGCTATGACTCGATCGGGGGGAAAAAAAAACATTCCCACACATACAAACAGGATTCCAGAAGCACTCAGGACTCACGCATTTCTATGAACAGCTGCCTCTTCTCTGCCATGGTCTTCCGCTTGTTCCCACTTTCCTCAATCATCCTAGAGACAAAGAAGGATACAATAAACCAATGTGTAATTTGACAATTCCACCAAGTGCTTATCAGTCTGTTGTGAAGAGGTACAAGAAACCAAGCTGTGTATGCACACATTAAAAGGATTTCAGTAAAAATAAAGTAGAAGCCCGATAGAGAAAAAAACAAACTGTTGTCCCTTTATTTGATAGCTTCTAAAATATTATAAAGTCAATACTTAAAGGAGCTCATACACTTGCTTCCTGTGCTGAAAATATGGGGCCATGTCTTATTTCTAACTTTATTTTCTCTGCAGAGTCCTGGATTAGTTGAGACATTTTCCCCATATTCCTACTGCTTTACAAAGATAAACATGTTACTAAAGATAATTTAGATAATACTTATAATGAAAGGCTATAATAAAGAACATCAGGATAATTAGCTTATACATAAAAGGTATAAATAGAATCTTTTATTTTTATGTTAAAAAGTATTAAACAAAAAAGGTATTCATCCACAAACTCAAAGAACTCCTAAATGTAAGTTTTTAATCACATGACTTTGGCTATGCCAGTCACTTTGTTTAAGAAAAAACTCTTTCCATGCATTATCTCATTTAATCCTCCCAACAACTCTGGGTGCTGGCATTATTATTATCCCCATTTTACAGATTAGGAAACAGATGCCTAGAAAAGAACACTAACTTGCTCAAGGACACACAACTCAGAAGCAGTAGAGTAGAATCCCAACCCTTTCATTAAACTTCTTTCATAATTTTTGCCTCTAGATGCATATTTTCAAATCTCTATGCTTAAAAAGCTAGAATACAATAGCCCATTGCATGGATCCTACTTATGCAAAATCTGTGACATCTCAGCCAAACTTCGCCTTACTCTATGAAGAAAAAAATATCTAAACAAATAGCATAAGCTAAAGATCCCTAAGAAGATTAAACTGCTGTAAATCATGGAGTGATTTATATAACATTGTCAAATACGTTAGAATCACGAATTAAATGGTGACTACACAAATTACATATCTATTAAAGCAAAGTGCCTGCTGAAAGTTTAGTTATAAATATATCGTAAAGAAACTTTTAAATGTAAATATATTCCTTACCATTCTGCAATTAATATTTTGATCATTAAAACTATCTCTTTCCGGGCTTCCCTGGTGGCGCAGTGGTTGAGAATCCGCCTGCCAATGCAGGAGACACGGGTTCGTGCCCTGGTCCGGGAGGATCCCACATGCCGCGGAGCAGCTGGGCCCGTGAGCCATGGCCGCTGAGCCTGCGCGTCCGGAGCCTGTGCTCCGCAACAGGAGAGGCCACAACAGTGAGAGGCCCGCGTACCGCCAAAAACAAACAAACAAACAAACAAAAAAACTATCCCTTTCCTAGATCACTGAAATGTTACCAAATAGGCTTCAATGTACATGATGGTTACCTAACAATTTGCCCCCAAGAGGAAACAGTTTTAAACAGAAAGAAAGTAAGCCAAAGAAAAAGCTACCAGAAACAGCAAACATCTAATGAAATCTAGGTCCTGGAGAAAAAAACAAGAGTTGGTACCAGGAGCCTATAATTACAATGAAACGAAGATATTCAACAGCCTCCTCCCTGTCCCCAAACTTGGTCTCCCACTGGGTAATACAAATTTTAAATGCTAAACACATTAAAACAGAGAATCATAATGTCCTTTATAATATATATCATTTATTATATACTTCTTCTACTTTTGCTATTTCTTTAAATCACTTTTTCTCAAAGTAGAATTATGAATTCCTGGAGATCCCTAAGTTCTTCATAACAGTTTTCTAAATTTTGTCTTTATTTCCAGATTAATCTTTAAAAAAATTAATATAAACATATTTTAGATCATCTAGATGACCACGAAACTACAAGTACTGCCGATGCCACTTCAGAGCCCACATCTGCATGTGTGATTACTGGGGCATTGGAAGAAAGAGAGCACGTAAAGCAGGCGTCAGCAAGCTAGAGGAACTATAGTACCTGGACCAGATCTGACCTGCCACCTGTTTTTGCAAATAACGTTTTACTGGAACACAGCCAAACCTATTCATTTATGTATTGTCTAAGGATGCTCTCATGCTACAATGGCAGAGTCGAGTGTTTTCCACTGAGAGCATCTGGCATGCAACGTCTAAAATAACTACCATCTGGTCCTTTAAGTAAAAGCATGCCAACCCAACCTAAAGCAATAGTAATTAATATTGCATTACTACACGTCTGGCTTTCCCATGGTGCCTGATAAGAGATCCTTTATTAGCTACTTTCTGCTCTGTCTTACTTCTCTACTCTTCTACCAGTATTTCCTAGGATCTAAAAAAAAATTTTTTTTTTTAATTTGCACTTGAGGCCTTATAGAGCATTTGCTTCTAGGGTAACCCAAAATAAGACAGATTTGATCCTGTAAAACAGACCTTCAAGATGAATTCTGTAAGTGGATCACTCGCCAACAGATGACAAGGATCCCAGTGCTGGTAGTAAGCAGCTTGGTGAGAACCCCTGGTGTGCTGCTGCATGGATAGTACTAAGACTCATGAAGTGGTGGAGCTAGTAAGGGACACAGGTAGAAGAAGATGATTGGCTTATGCAATAGCTTTAGCATTTGAGAGAGACAGGAGGACTGGGAATTTTAAAGACAATTAAATGGTTGAGCTTTTGTTAAGTAGGACAGACGCACAGAAGAAAGAAAATGTCAAGGCTTAAATCAGCCAAGTACCAACTCAGAGCATGCTATGAGAGCCAGAGACCTCCATGGCAGCACGTTTTTAAGGAACCCTCAGCTCCCACAACTTGAGGGCAGATTGTGCTAAAAATCAGGCTCAAATTCTGTTTATGAAAGTAGGCAGCTTAACAAAGAAGACTGAATTCATAGTCCAGCCAAGATCCCCTGAACCCTATAGGCCTGACGAAGTGGCTGTCTGCTCTTGCTACAAGGGCAGTCTCCTCTGCCTTAAGACTATGCAAAGTTCTCATCTGAGATGCATGCCTAGAAAGATGCTGACCCTCCTCAGGATCTGTTTCTACCTCCCTCACTGCTTCTACGCTAATAACTAGGGTCAAGTCTTACATCATCAGAAAGGGAAGGTACTGTCCCTGCCTTGGATGGAAAAGGGCTGATTCATCAAAACAGCTGCTGGACCTGATGATATGCACTAACAGGAACCGGAAGAACATACCTGGGAATGGACCTTGAGAGTGCTGAACTTGAGCCAAGTGTAAAGTAAAACAAAGTTTGTTGACATGGCGGTACTCATCCTATGACCCAGGATTTAATGTTCTGAAAAGGACACCTGGCGCCAGTCCTAATATGCCACTAGACTGGCTCATTTAAGCTGGGCATCCGGGTTTTGGTGGCCTAGAGAAAATGAACTGAAGATGCTGGAACTGCAGAGCAAGTATTAAGGAAACAGTTAATAGGGTGTTCCCCTTCCCCATATCTCCTGGCCTTTACTGAATCCTTCTGTAATGACTGACAGCATCTGCATTTTCTGTTTGTTTGTTTGTTTAAACAGAGAAACCAGGCTTTCTCTGACCTCTGAAGTCCATTTTGTTCCTTGCATGTCAGGCCTGAAATGCTATAAATTTACCACTCCCTAGAAACAGTCTTAACCAATGATTGATTTAGTTGGTATATACTCTACCTACCTTGCCCCCTAAAAGGGTATAAATCTGAGGACACGTTTTTACACAGGCTCCTAGAGTTCCCCAGTGGGAATAAGCTTCTGTCACCCACAGTGGTAACTTGCTTGATAACAAAACCTTTATCTGCTAACTTCCCTTCCCTATCTCACCTCCCGGTCCCCTGCTCATATTTGCAGGGATAACTTCCAAAACAAAATACTTGCACGCAAATCCTCGTCTAAGAGTCAGCTTCTGATAGAACTCAAACTAAAATATTAAGTCTTTTCATTTCAACCAAGCTTATAGTTCAGATTTCATAAAATCCAAATGTATGGGGTACACATAAATTAAGATTACTATAAATGATTTCCCCAGGCCTTATTAGCATGACTCCATCCCAGTGCTCCATGGATACTCATACCTCCATCTTTGTAATTATGATTTTAACAGTCCACGCTCAACAAAGATCTAACCCTATGACCACACCTGATTACGTCCTTGTCTTCTTGATATAACTTTAAAGATCAACAGTTACGTGAATGTAAACACATCTCTCTTCTTCCTTCCACTTGGACTCCTGGCACTTTGCCTTTTCTGAGCCTCATAATCTAGAAGTAACCAACACCTCCTTATCATTCACTTCACATACTAACGCTGATTTCAAACACTGCCATTTCCTTCCTCATAATCACTCTCACATCCACCCTTTTTTCCCATTTCAACTGCCAAAAATCTTTGTCCACATGAATGCACAAATAAAATTCTCTGACTCCGTGATGTCAGGACTCTGCAACCCCTTCTTCCTGTGGTTCATCCTGTGAAATCTACTAGGTACATTTATTCAAACGTGTTTGAGGGCTTCCCTGGTGGCGCAGTGGTTGGGAGTCCGCCTGCCGATGCAGGGGACACGGGTTCGTGCCCCGGTCCGGGAAGATCCCACATGCCGCGGAGCGGCTGGGCCCGTGAGCCATGACCGCTGAGCCTGCACGCCCGGACCCTGTGCTCCGCAAGGGGAGAGGCCACAGCAGTGAGAGGCCCGCGTACCGCAAAAAAAAAAAAAAAAAAGTGTTTGATCCTCACAGGATCCTGATCACCCTACTTAGGGGCTTCATTCCACCCAATTAAAAATAATCAGAACACAAAGTGAAATAAGCCAGACAGAGAAAAGACAAATACTATGTAATCTCACTCATATGTGGAATCTAATAATACCAAAAACAGCCAAACTCATCATAGAAGCAGAGTAGATTGGTAGCTGCCAGGGGCTGGGGGGTGGGAGAAATGGGGAAATACAAAGCATACAAACTTTCAGTTACAAGATGAATAAATCCTGGGGATCAAATGCACAGCATGGTGACTATAGTTGATAATACTCTACT